CATAGTGTACATGTATTGCAAATGTCAGTCTACACATCACAACTACTTAATAGGACAATAACTTACACCAAAAAATGTCATATTACTTGGCTAGTAAAGTGATTCACTTGTCTAATAGTTTTAAAGAAACAATCTTCTGAACAACTAATACATGTGTAAACCAATGCAGTAATTACATGCTGTAATGCAAGTACGTCTACACTTGTGTAAAATACCTTTAAGTCAGAAGAGGAAGTTCCAGTGTTGGTCAGAGGACCTAAAGTTGAGTGGCTTGGTTCAACGTCGTCCATCATGTTAGTAGTGTCCTCACATGCAGGCTAAAGGGATTTCAAATATCACAGTTAAACATTTCAATGAACCTCACATAGTGTAAAGTGTTAATTACATCAATCTTAATATGAATCAAAAATTCATATTATAAACTTAAGAGGACAAACTGCTCTTGAGAACAACAGACCATATTCTTCTGTGTGTTCACTGCTCTGGTGGCTCAGGTTGACTAGACGCAGTGCTCACTATACTAAACCTGACAGTGTGTGTAACCAGTACCAACCTTACAGACTGATGCACAAAGAGAAAACTATTACAAATTAATTTCAGATGTTGAATGACACTGCTTGTGAGGTCATTTAAACTGTTATTCAGAAATAAAGTCTACATATTGTCCTGTGAGTCTACTGCTATAGGGGAAGGTTCTACTTAGACGTGGTCCCCACTATGGCAGACCCGACAGTGTGTGTAACCAATATCAACCTTAAACACTTGTTCAAAAACAGGAAACTATTACCAGTTCATATGAGACCCTGAATGACATTAGTCACAAGGTAACCTACACTGTTGTTCAGAAACGTTGTCTATAAGTTGTCCTGCATGTCTACTGCTTTAGTGGAAGTCTCTATCTAGATGTGCTCCCCACTACGCTAAATCTGACAGTGAGTGTAACTAAAACCATTCAAACATTTCTATCCTGAGAGGGTCCCCAAAATGCAAAACCTGAGAGCATGTGTAACTAATACCATCCCAAAAGCCTCACTTAAAAACAATGAACTCTCACAAATTTATATCTGACAACAAATGAAATCAGTACTGAAGTAACTTCAAATAACCATAATTAGCTGCATAACTACCAAGTAGTTCAATCACTATATGCATATAAAACCACTTTTTAAATACCTTTAAGCCAGAAGAAGTTGTTCCAGAGTTGGTCACAGGACTTGACGCTGAGCGGCTTGATTCAACCACGTCCATCATGTTAGCAGAGTCCTCACATGCAGGCTACAGGGATTTCAAATATCACAGTTAAACATTTAGAATTGAGAAGCATTTCATGCAAAAGAAACGTGGCTGTCCCAGGCTACACCACATAGTGTACATGTATTGCAAATGTCAGTCTACACATCACAACTGTCACAACTACCTAATGTTTTTAAGTGAGGCTTTAGGGATGGTATTAGTTACACATGCTCTCAGGTCTCGCATTGTGGGGACCCTTTCAGGATAGAAATGTTTGAATGGTTTGGGTTACACCTATTGTCAGGTTTAGCATAGTGCGGACCACGTCTAAGTAGAACCTTCCACTATAGCAGTAGACTCACAGGACAATATGTAGACTTTATTTCTGAATTACAGTTTAAATGCCCTCAGGAGTAATGTCATTCAACATCTGAAATTAATTTGTAATGGTTTCCTCTTTGTACACTTTGTTCCTAATTGGCTTGGTTTAACCACATCCATCATGTTAGCAATGCCCTCACATCAACGCTAAAGGGATTTCAAATATCACAGTTAAACATTTCAATAAATCTCAAACACAAGTAGATCATTACTTAAAATGCAGTACACAATTTCACACGTTTTATCAGTGTCTGCTGCTTCAAGTTAACCAGACATGGATTCACCATTTTATAGAACAGTGTGTGTAAATGACATCAATCTTAACATGAATAAAAAAAAAAATCATATTACACCCTTAATGGGATTAATTATGAGAGGACAAACTGCTGTTGAAAACAATAGACCATACATTCTTCTGTGTGTTCACTGCTCTGCTGGTTCAGGTTGGCTAGACGTGGTCCCCACTATACTAAACCTGACAATGTGTGTAACCAAAATCAACCTTACTGACTCGTGTACAAAGAAGAAACTATTACAAATTAATTTCAGACGCTGAATGACACTGCTAATGAGGTCATTTAAACTGTAATTCAGAAATAAAGTCTACATATGGTCCTGTAAGTCTACTACTATAGTGTAAGGTTCTACTTAGACGTGGTCCCCACTATGGCAGACCCGACAGTGTGTGTAACCAATATCAACCTTAAACACTTGTTCAAAAACAGGAAACTATTACCAGTTCATATGAGACCCTGAATGACATTAGTCACAAGGTAACCTACACTGTTGCTCAGAAACGTTGTCTATAAGTTGTCCTGCATGTCTACTGCTTTAGTGGAAGTCTCTATCTAGATGTGCTCCCCACTACGCTAAATCTGACAGTGAGTGTAACTAAAACCATTCAAACATTTCTATCCTGAGAGGGTCCCCAAAATGCAAAACCTGAGAGCATGTGTAACTAATACCATCCCTAAGGCCTCACTTAAAAACAATTAACTCTCACAAATTTATATCACACAACAAATGAAATCAGTTCTGAAGTAACTTCAATTAACCATAATTAGCTGCATAACTACCAAGTAGTTCAATCTCTATATGCAAATAATTATAAATACCTTTAAGCCAGAAGAAGTTCCAGAGTTGGTCACAGGACTTGAAGCTGAGCAGCTTGGTTCAACCATGTCCATAATGCTGTCCCAGGCTACACCACATAGTGTACATGTATTGCAAATGTCAGTCTACACATCACAACTGTCACAACTACCTAATGTTTTTAAGTGAGGCTTTAGGGATGGTATTAGTTACACATGCTCTCAGGTCTCGCATTGTGGGGACCCTTTCAGGATAGAAATGTTTGAATGGTTTGGGTTACACCTATTGTCAGGTTTAGCATAGTGCGGACCACGTCTAAGTAGAACCTTCCACTATAGCAGTAGACTCACAGGACAATATGTAGACTTTATTTCTGAATTACAGTTTAAATGCCCTCAGGAGTAATGTCATTCAACATCTGAAATTAATTTGTAATGGTTTCCTCTTTGTACACTTTGTTCCTAATTGGCTTGGTTTAACCACATCTATCATGTTAGCAATGCCCTCACATCAACGCTAAAGGGATTTCAAATATCACAGTTAAACATTTCAATAAATCTCAAACACAAGTAGATCATTACTTAAAATGCAGTACACAATTTCACACGTTTTATCAGTGTCTGCTGCTTCAAGTTAACCAGACATGGATTCACCATTTTATAGAACAGTGTGTGTAAATGACATCAATCTTAACATGAATAAAAAAAAAAAAAATCATATTACACCCTTAATGGGATTATTTATGAGAGGACAAACTGCTGTTGAAAACAATAGACCATACATTCTTCTGTGTGTTCACTGCTCTGCTGGTTCAGGTTGGCTAGACGTGGTCCCCACTATACTAAACCTGACAATGTGTGTAACCAAAATCAACCTTACTGACTCGTGTACAAAGAAGAAACTATTACAAATTAATTTCAGATGCTGAATGACACTGCTAATGAGGTCATTTAAACTGTAATTCAGAAATAAAGTCTATATATGGTCCTGTAAGTCTACTACTATAGTGTAAGGTTCTACTTAGACGTGGTCCCCACTATGGCAGACCCGACAGTGTGTGTAACCAATATCAACCTTAAACACTTGTTCAAAAACAGGAAACTATTACCAGTTCATATGAGACCCTGAATGACATTAGTCATAAGGTAACCTACACGATAGTTCAGAAATGTTGTCTATATGTTGACCTGCGAGTCTACTGCTATAGTGGAAGGTTCTACTTAGACGTGCTAAACCTGACAGTGGGTGTAACCCAAACCACTCAAACATTTCTATCCTAAAAGGGTCCCCACAATGCGAGAGCTGAGAGCATGTATAACTAATACCATCCCTAAGGCCTCACTTAAAAACACACAAAAACAACTCTCACAAATTTATATCTCACAACAAATGAAATCAGTACTGAAGTAACTTGACCATAATTAGCTGCAGAGCTACCAAGTAGTCCAATGACTACATGCACATAAAACCACTTTTTAAATACCTTTAAGCCAGAAGAAAAAGATCCTGTGTTGGTCACAGGACTTGACGCTGAGCGGATTGATTCAACCACATCCATCATGTTAGCAGTGTCCTCACATAGAGGCTATGGGGATTTCAAATATCACAGTTTAACATGTAGAATTGAACAGCATTTCATACAAAAGAAACGAGGCTGTCCCAGGCTACACCACATAGTGTACATGTAATGTAAACTTCAGTCTACACATCACAACTACTTAATAGGACAATAACCTACACCAAAAATGCCATATTACTAGGCTAGTAATGTCATTCACTTGTCTAATTGTTTTAAAGAAACAATCTTCTGAACAACTGATCGTAACTGATGTACACCAGTGCATTTATTACATACTGTAATGCAAATATGTCACTTTATGGATATAAAACCACTTTTTTTTTTATACCTTTAAGTCAGAAGTGGAAGCTCCAGCATTGGTCACAGGACCTGAAGCCGAGCGGCTTGGTTCAACATTGTCCTTGATGTTAGCAGTGTCCTTATGTGCAGGCTACAGGGATTTCAAATAATCACAGTTAAACATTTAGAATTGAAGAGCTTTTGTTAATAACAAATACCTAAACCAAAAAATGCCATACTACTAAGCTAATAATGCCGGTCACTTGTCTTATAGTTGTTAACAAAAACAATCTTTAGAACAACTGACATTATCATACTAAACAATCATACAAAACAGCTAATCATTTTTAATAGCATTAATAGTGTGGATGATTAAAGTTTATGACCTCAACTGAAATGTTTCCACTAAGATTCCATTAAAATCCTTACTAAAATCCTTACTAAGAAAATCCTTACTAAGAAATGTAATTCAGGCTAAGCCATTATCGAAATTAATCTCAAGAAAATGTAACTTCTACTCAATGTCAAGGACAGCAATACACATTGCATGGGCTTTCAAAGGGTTACTTTTTGATCAAATGCTGATAAGCACTCAATCACACTGCTAAGCTAGTAAAATCTATTTCAAATATTTTCCAAACACATCTTACAAACCTTTCTACTCCGATGCCAGTCACTTCCTCCACAGTCGTAGGTTATTTTCTCTCCAGGCATTATATCTCTCATCACAAAAACGCAGAGATGCGGTTTTCCCTGGACAATGATCTTTTTCATTTTACAGTTGAGGTCCTTGTGCTCATCGTTCACTAGTCGGCCAAGGGTGTCATCCTCTCTTGTTGCAACAATGCTTAAAAAATGGAAAAAAAAAAACAAAAAAACAAACAAACAAACAAAATACATTTATTGTATTCTATGTTAGAACTAGATTACTGCATATAGGTAGCAGTGCCACAACAATCAATAAGCATTAACAAAAACAAAAGAAAATACTGTTGAAATATAGGGGTGGGCAACATAATACTAACACCGGTACTTTTTTAAATGCAATAGGATTTTGCCATACAGAGAACAGTATCACTAGCACTGAGGACAACTTAGTTCTTAAAAGGGGAGACACGTCAGTAGTGTGGAAGTTTATTGGCTACAGAAGGCTAGACCCCAAACAAACAACAGTAATTTGCAAAATGTCAAAAAATACGGTGACCACAAAATAACCTATTAAAACATTTGAGATGTTTGTTTGAGCTCCTCTGACAGGTGGTCTGCTACCTTTATTTACCAAGAAAACAAGCATGTTCCCTGACGCTGGCTTCAGAAGCTACAATATTGCAAACAGGGCTGAATCCTCTCTCAGCAGATGCATGGTGGCAGAGATATGCACAGATATTTACTGGCTAACTTGCTGACAATAAGAAGTTATGCAGCCTCTACCATGTGGCAAGTGCATCGTTCTCACTGTCAGCTTTTTGAAGGTTAAATTAGTGTACATTTATTGGAATTAGTATTTAAGAATTCACTATCTGCAGCAAAATATGATAAAGTATTTTAAATGAACGGAAATAATTTTAGAGCTTTCTTTAGTTAATTAGTTAATATTGTTACTGCAAAAAATATCCCAAAATTTTGTGATATTATTTCAAGGCCTTATTGCCCACCCCTACTGAAAGTATAGTTATTACTACAAAATAATTTCATTTCATATGGTTAATGATAGTTTAAAACCACAAGCTAAATTTTAGACAAAAAAAAATTTCTACAAAATACCTTCTATGATAATCACTAACATGTAATCATCTCTGAAACTTACCACTGTTTATTCTGCCAAAAGTAATACAGTAATTCGGGAGACCTTCCTCCTTCTCCCTGATTCAAGAAAGTCCATCAGTTCCCCTCTGCATTCAACCACAAAATCTCCTTTATTCAAAGAAGCCAGGGCAAATACACCATGACCTGTCAAAGAAGTAAAATAAAGCCAAACAAATCATATGCATGTTGTAGCAGCTGTGATACAGAAAAACATCCTGCACTGTAAGACAGTGGATTAACTGTTTTAAAATGTATCATAGTGTGGCAATTAATCTGTTTCTAATTGAATTAATACACCACCATTAGATTTAGTGTACACAATATTACATAAACCAGCTTCAGCACAGAGGACTGTGGGCGTGGCAGTCGGGCAAAATAGATGAAAAGGATTTTTGAACTTCACGCAAATGAAAAGTGAACTGCACCAGGCAGTGGCCAATTCAAATGTGGATAATAATAATAAAACAAAAATATTCAAATTAACATATCAAAAACACAACATTTAGCAGCAGATAGCCGTATTTTACAAACATTATTAAGCTGGATTTCACATGCATTTCATTGGTACAAACAACTAGTCTACTACTATATACACTTGTGTTCTAGATAAATGGTTTGTATTTTAGTTGCATGCCCCCAAAATGGCTAACATTTGTCAAGAGAAATTATTTTCTTTACTCTAATGTAAGTATGCAGGCAAAACCACAACAATACAGAAAACCAGGCCTACCTTTATAAGGGTTTATTAATTTACTCTCCAATACATCAGTCTTGTCAGTTGCACTGGTGACATGTTGTACTGCTTCATCAAGTGGTTTCACCCTCCTCCGTCTCATTTCATCTTCTCCTCCTGCAACTGAGAGTATCTGAAGCAGAAGGTTGACAAATCATACTCAAAGCAAGTCCACATGGAACAGCAAAAACATTTGTATGGCCTAGAAAAAGCCTTGTAATAAACAGAATTTTAAGATTTCCAATACTATTTTCTACTAGTGAGATGTGATCAACATATATTTGCAAGTAGGAACAGCATTTTTCATATGATATTATAAAAATTATTTTGAAAAGAAGCTAAATGGAATGACTCTTAAGACAAGATTAAATCAATAACAGGTCTTGATAATAGGCCAGTGCAAAGAAAAGAGTTCTAACCATAACAAAAACTATGCTTGTAATGTATTATATTATTAAATATTAATTCATTTACTGTAAGTGTAGACCTAAATGCAACTGTGTGAATTAGCTCTTCTTATATTTAGAGCTCAAATCTAGATCAGTGCCTCACTCTCTCTCTTTCTCTCCACACGTCTTGCTGTCTCCTGCTGAGTCCGCACAAGAATGGCTCTCGCTGTCTCCCTCTCCAAAACTGTCTTTCTCTCTCTAAAACTAAACATATATAAACATATACATATAGCGAGGCAGTGAGCCTTATAGTACACCTGAAAGATTAAATGATTTTCAAATCACAAAGAGTTACAATAATAATCATAGCCTACATGATGAACAACACTGTCTTAAGAATTTATAAGTGCAGAAATTTAACACAGAGCTTCTGAACCACCTCTACATGAGTCGGACTAATCAGAAGGACCCCTCTGTTGTGTACACTGTGTACAGGACAACACAATCACCATTAACTGGCAGGTTGGCACACTACTTTCAGAGTCCAAGCCTCGGCCAAAAATAATGGATGTGCTGGTCTTTTGGCCACAACACATGCCTTTCATTTACTGAAATCAGTAACAGATCAAATAGCAAATACAATCTTTTTCAGAACAACCTGCAATCAGATATTTTACCAAATATTTCAGCCCCACCTTGCAGTCAATTGTCATCCAGTTAAGCTCCATGGCTGTTTTCTCTTTCTCTCTCTCTCTCTGTGCACACACACACACACACAAAACCCACAGCCCTTTTAATACTCTGATTATTTGAATTAATAAAATACCTGGTAAGAACAGTGAGTCTTACCCTGCTGTATTTTTCAACTAAGTTAGATTAATAAGATAATCTCCACACAGCTTTCTCTCTCTAAAATGTACATACATCTTTTTTAAAAACTTTGATCACATGAAACCAATAAAATATCCAACACACTTTTTCTCCCTAAACTAAAAAACATACAAACTAAGCTTGAGGTTACCAAAGTGGACCTTATAGCTCATTACCATCCAGCTAACCAGCCACCCTTCTCTCCCTCTTCTCTCCCTCTTCTCTCCCCCTTCTCTCTCTCTCTCTCTCTCTCTCCACTACGCAGGGAACACACAGCCCTTTAAACCTCTGACTACACAAAACCAACCAAATCTCTCTCTCTCTCCCCCTCTCTCTCTCTCTAAAGCTAAACATCACTGAAAAAGCCTCACGGTACCAAACAGTGGGCCTTACAGCGCGTTAGCGTCAAGCTAACTAGCTAACGAGTAATGAGCTCCTGAAATGTTGTGATTGCTCGAGATAACACAGAGTCTAAGTCGAGAGCAAACATAAAACCGTATCTTTGCGAGCAAAGGCAAATATTTAAGCTATGAAGGGTTTAAAAATCTGCTTATCTACCTTACTCATTACCATCCAGCTAACCAGCTTCTCCAGCACCCCCTTCTCTCCCCCTCTCTCCACTACGCACGCACGGAACACACAGCCCTTTAAAACACTAGGTTAATTACACTAAACCAGCCTAATGTCCTCCACTCTCTCCCCCTGCACAGCTAAACACCACTGAAAACGCCTCACGGTACCGAACAGCGGGTCTTACAGCACGTTAGCGTCGAGCTAACTAACGCTAGCTAGCTAACGAGTTATGAGCTCCTGAAATGTTGTAGTTGCTCGAGATAACACAAACTGAGTCGAGAGCAAACATAAAACCGTATCTTTGCGAGCAAAGGCATATATTTAAGCTATGAAGAATTTTAAAATCCAGTTTAACTTACCTTACATCAGTGCTTCTTGAGTGCAGCTATCCTTCAGCTCTTTCGTGGCGTGACAGAGGGAATTACGGGAAATGTAGTTTCTTTGTTCTTCCAAGTCCCATTCGTTCCATTCAATATAGAGCGGAAAAAACTACAGGCGCCATTTTAGCTTCACTTCGGTATGCACACAAACAAAGCTATTAGGTTATAACATTAGCTTAGACCAGAGGTTCGACCAGAGTACTTTAAACCATAAAAAATTGACTATATATACACTAATATATGTATTATACTGAACGTATCGACGTTGAAGACTTTATAACGCTGATGCTTATATATTTTATATTTTCTTTGGAACTTTTGGTAGCTTATCTTTTAACTGACTCACTGTTACAATGCAGTGCATATTACAATACAATATAATAGGAGACAATTTTTTTTATCTGACTGTAAACTGTTCACGTTTTTGATTTCTTGATTGTAATATTTATATGTTTAACATAACTAACTATTTACTTCATTAATATGTCTTATTTGTGTTTACCTTGTAGTAGCAGTGATTAATTCAGCGTCCACAGCACTCAGTGACGTGTATCAGGGTTGCGCAGGCGCAGTAGTGAAAGTGTGCTTACGGTCCGCATCCTAAGCACACTTTTAGGCTAGGGTGCAGTACCACCAAGATACCTCCGGGGGCATCGGTGAGCATGTGTGTAAGCACGCTTTTACACACTTCTCATGTTTTTGCGTATGGTGGGGTCCAAAAAAAAAACCGCACCACCCATATCAGCATGGTCTCCTGAGTCAACTGGCGCATTTTGGCTGAAAACATTGTGGGGACCGGCAAACTGGTCCCCACAATGTTTTCGGTCCCCACACTGTGAGTGTGCTAACGTGTTGCGGCCCCCACCATGTAATAAAAACAAACACACACACACACACACACACACACACACACACACACACACACGGTCCGTCTGTCATGGCCTAATGCCTGTTGATTTATGGATATGGCACAGAGAGACTGCAGCACTGCTGTAATCCTCATCGCTCTGAGCTGCACACACTGTTAGTACAGACTTAGCGACTGCTCCGGCTATTGCTAAGGCTTATTGCAACACACGCAGGCAATAATCCAGCGCCGCCCAACAAAACATGGACGCTGTCACGCTCGTTTGCCCCTAAATCATTTTCTGCAGCAAACTTTTCATAGCCCTGTTCTGCTGCATGGCCATGCAGAAAACCCCTTTACAGAATTAGGGCCTATTTTCCCAACCCAGATTAAGCCTAATCCTGGACTCAAAATGTTTTCAATGGCGATTCATCATTGGCATTGCAATTATTCCAAGACCGGGCTTAATCCAAGACTGGGAAATGCACAGCGAAAATGTGACAGTGCATCTAATATAAAGGAAGATGTGCTTCTTTTATATGGTGATAGGAAACAGTAGCATATAGAAAGCTCTAATTCTACCTGCTGATACCTTTTACTATACCCAGAGTGGACGTGGACACATTGTAATTACTATTTAACAGGTCAAAGGGGAATTCCACCGATGTTGTGCAGAAATCGATCAGTTGCTGAGATGTAAACAAACTCATTCAGAGTGGTTTGATGCAAAATGGAGCACTATAGAGTGTCACGCATCCCTCTGACTCTGCTCTCAGTCTTTCAATAGAGCTACTGAGCGTTATTTCTTGTTTTGTTCTATTCGTGTACCAAACCTCTTTCCAGTATTTCTGAACTCTGCCTTTTGTCTTAGACCTTTTGGATTGTTTGGTTGGATTATCTCTGTTATGTTTTTCTGTTTTTGACCTTGGCCTGTTTTTCGACTACGCCTCTCTTGGACCCCAGTAAAGTCTATTGCATTGCAGACATTGCAACCCCTGGTTCCTATCACCACCGCTGTAAAGAAATCTGAGCTGGTATGTTTCTCTCTGTAACACAACCAGACTGATTAGACGCCTGCAGTTAAAATAGACTTTACTGGGGTCCAAGAGAGGCGTAGTCGAAAAACATTTTATTTACTACCAAAATGGGTACGTGTGTCTTCTGAGTTTTTACATGTTAGTAATACTGAACTAGTGATTAATCCACGTTTTGCCTTATATGTATTTCTCCACTATGAATGGACTATGTTTCAGACATCAGGCAGAGTTTTTGTAACCATTTAATGTAATAACTTCATTGTGATGTAGTTTTAAAGGCATTAAACCACCACTGGGAACAATTCTGACTTGGTAGATTCGTCTAGAATGGAACATTTCACACCAAATCACTCTGTATGACTTTGTTCACATCTTAATGATAAATAATGCAGACATTTTGAAAAACCGGTCCCTCCAAAAGAGGGTCAGAACACACACTATGTTTCAGTGCATACTGGGGACTGTAGTACATCTCAGGGTGAAACGGGCTACTAAGAACAGAAACTTAAAATTATTTTGCGGGCTGAATAGGACTGTGTCACAAGGCCCGTGGGCCAAATCAGGCCTGTGACACAGTCCTATTCAGCCCATGGGCCTTGTGTTTTATTCAGCCCATGGGCCTTGTGTTTTATTCAGCCCATGGGCCTTGTGTTTTATGATGATGTTCCTAAAAGGAACATCTTCATAAATTCTGAATGTATTGCCAGCATGACATTAGGTTTGATAGGGTTAATGTGTGTTAATATAACAAGATTTTATTCCAAGTCATTCTGGACAGATATGTTATTCTATTCATCATGAATTGTTCACAGAAGGTAAAAGGGCAAATGTTCTTTCACAACAATCACTGTGTAAAAAGTGAGTATGATGGTGTTATGACTGGAATTATGATGCCAGAACCCAATGCTAGGCTCACCTGTGGAAAAAATGGAGCTAGGAGGTCTTCATATGGCAGCAATAGCATATTAGTTACTGAATTTTTAGTGCAGAATATGAAATTAAAGATGAATTACACCTCCAGTGCTAACAATACATCAATGCTAATAACATCAGGCCTACATTTTAATTACTACCAGCATTGTTAAAGAAAATGTTTTTTAATAACGTGTGTTATGTGTCGGCTTTTTGCTTGTCAAATCTTCATATCCAAAATTGTTACAAATGAATGTTACAGCATTTAGGAATGAAACTCGTCATATTTAACCCTCAAACTGCAAACGCTTGTGTGTAGGCCCACATGTCAGTTACTCACCCTCATAGGTACATAACAAATTAGTTTCACAGTAATTTCAAAGTAATTCATAGTAGTTATGATTAATTTGCAATTACATCTCTGTAATTAAGTTGAACTGCTTAATTAAAGGCTAAAAAATGTCTTCACCTGACACTTGCTTCTACTCTTCTTTGCAGCTTGAGTGCATTTTCTCGAAGCAGCAGTGATTCAATCACCTGGAATGTGAAGCCATAGAAACAGTAACTGACGGCAGCTGCATTCATAGATGCTTTCATAAAATTAAAAACAATGAAATAAAATCATAATACCAGTTTTGTCTGCCTGCCTTGATTGGGGGTGGTAAACAAGCAAAAGCATGGAAATAGAATGCAAGTCAGTCATCCATGGCAAGTAAATAACCATGAAGATGCAATCAGATGAGACATGATGCTTTCTTACGTTTTGCCTCCTCTAATGAATTATAATGCTTGGAGGAAGAATTGTTTACGCATCAAGTCACACATCAGTCATGCTTTATCACTGCTCTGATTACACAAAAGTGCTTACTGATCTGTATGCTCTGAGTGTCTTCAGCAATGAAGGAAGTCTTGTGCATATTTTATGCAGTGATAGACACACAGCAGCACAAATAAAAGCTCTGAATCTACAAGCTGGTTCATTTTTGTTTTATACAGTTAGTATAGGTAGTTCTGACGACACAATCCCATTCACTTTTCTCACAATAACGGCATCATTCTGCTGAGCACTGGTTGCTAAATAATGACTTGCTTTACGCTGCAGGGGCCAAATTACAGAAACTTCTTAAGTCTGAAATCTTATCTGCTTAGTCAACATGACAACTTTAGTAAGGACTGAATTTATGATAGAAGCTATTACAGAACAACAGTTCTTAAGTTCGTAATCTTATCCTAACTCCAGATAAGAAAATAGTATTACAGAAACATCCTAACTAGACAAAAAATCCTAAATTCTGTCCTAACTTCAAACCCCAGAGCTGTCTTAACGTCTGTTTAACCATCTGTTTCTGTTGTTATATGCAGTGACAGGCAGCATAGTTCACTATAACTGGTATAACGATGTTAGCTACATTTATCAACATTGAAAACTGTGGTTTGACTTGAGTTTTTTTTTCTAACAGCGTTTTAAAAACCCAGACGTTGCAGACAGGATATCCACCGTCCCATCTTATTAGCTTTGTGTGTTCATGTTGATGAAAACTCATCAGATAAAATCTTACAGTGATGGTGGTGGATAATGAGGAGACAGGGCTGAACGTGGGTCTGTTTATTAGGAGGAATAAGATTAGCATGGTTAGCTAAAGCATTTGGGAACTGCTTGAAACTGAAACTGAAACTGAAACTGCAGAGCAGCGATGCACTAAAAAACAGCACAAAATGCAGATACAATATTCTTAACTTTCAGTTTATTAGTTTGGTTTGGCCTTGTCTGGCTAACTAGCTTGATTATTTTGATTACGTGTTTACGTTTCAGCTCTGTGCGTATTCCAAACCTGCGGCCAGATTCACAAAATTCTCTTAAGAAAGAAAATCTTCTTCAGTGTGTGTTTTTTCTTAACTTCATTCTTAAGAAAAAAGAGAATTCTTGTATTTTCTTTTCTTAAATATTTTCTTAAGAATAGTTCTAAGAACAAGTGGTATTCTTGAAAATATTTTGTTCTTAAATGTGTTCTTAACCTTACGACAGCCTCACACTTGTCTTAGTCTGTAAGAGTTGACAAGATGAGCATCTAAATTTATCAGTTAATCTACGATTGGGCACATCGTCATCTCTTGCTTTCCACCATCACCCCACAATTATTGTATTTTCCAAGGAGGATTTTATCCTGTTGGCTGTTTCTTCCACCATAACCTCTATTTCTTGTTTGCTGAACACTTGGTTTGATTTTTTCTCCATTTTGCTCCTCTGAGTGGATTAACCCAATAACGGAAATAACAGTAAATACAAATTGAAAAACGTATCTTGCAACAGAGCTACATAAGAACACAATGAAGATTTTCTTAAGAAAATCATAAGAAAAAGATGATCTTAACAGAATATGTGAGAACTTCTCAATTTTCTTCAAGAATTGCATTCAAGAACACTCATTACTTTCTGTTCATATGGGACTCTGGGGACTTTTATGCACATTATGTGGGACTGCCCAAAACCTTATGCTTTTTACTTGATTCTATCTCTTTTCTGACCAAGATATACTTCCCCATGGACGCTGAATCTCATTTACTTAATGATAACTCTAAATTTCCCATTACAGAAAGTTCCCATAAAATATGGCTGGCTGGCTTAACGGCAGCAAAAAAAGTTAACGTCCTGCATTGGCTACCCCCTCACAACTTGTCCATACAGCACTGGCTCCATTTCTTATTGGATACCTTCTATCTGGAACTATCATCTGCAAGAATTAGCAATGCTGCCCCTAGAACTCTTCATACATGGACTCATTCACCAACCGTTCATAAGAAGAAATTTCTTCTTAAAACCCACTTACCCAGTTTTTATGAAGATTCTGAGATTCACCAGTGTTTTCTTATTTGGGATTTGTTCTTAGGTAAGAATCTACACACACTTGAGCACAAAGGTGTGAACAATTCTGTGCTTTAAGAACTTGTCATGAATCTGATGTAGACTTTTTCTTAAGACGCTTCTCGAAAACACATTTAAGAACAAACTTAGGAAGATGTTGGTGAATGAGGCCCATTCTTATGACCTTCTTAGTGTTTGTCTTGAGAACCTTCACAAGTTTTTTCTTAAGAAAGTTTTTGTGAATCCGGCCCCTGTTGCT